CCGAGCCCGGGTCAGGCCCGGCCTAACCTTGAACCCGACGGGCCGGGTCACGAGCCTGAACCGGCCCTGCCCACGCCCACCTCTAATTACATAGGTAACAATAAAAATCTCAAAAAATGCTCATACAACATTATATACACGCGCACGCGGGGGTTAACAAAATCACAAAAAGCCACAGGTATGGATTTCATAGATATGACAATTACCTGATACTCTGTTGAATGTATATTGTGAAAAAGGTAGAATTCAATCATGAACCAGCTATAAAATCCGATCATATTTTTACAAATAAATCAATAACAAAGTAGTAACTCGTTTATAAATTCAATATTATGCTTACTTGGCAATTAACATGTAGATAAAATAGTACCCTAGTCCACGGAATGCGTGCATGACACAAAAAAAACGAGTGATTTATTAGGTTTTTATCAACTTTGACGATATTTTGGATGATTTTTCCAAGGGCGGGAATATTTCCACAAGTTTTTCCCAGTGTAAGAGCATTGTCGTTGTTCTTGCCCAAGAGAGGGGGCAGTTCAGTGAATGTTTTCAAGTGTGAGTGTGTTTCCGTAGCTTCCTCCAACCGTAAAGGAAATTTTTGGAATTTAGAAAATGTGAGCCACAAAACAAAAGAAGTGATTTTCTTAATATATAGTATAGATGATCATATACTTTATCTGAAACTAGTTATAAGCTAGATCTTTGTAGAAGCGTCTAACAAGAACTCCTCCTATGTCTTTTAAGAATCATATCGGATATGTACACCTTCTGATAAGAACCAGAACCACTGGATCATTGATCATCCTATTTATCACCATAGCAAACATGTAGAAAAGTAGAAGCTACTAGCTAATGCATCAGCGTGATATGATTGATGCCCAAGTGAAACAAAGAACGTATTTTTTATTTAACAAACTTTCTCAACAAAAAATCTATCAGATCATTACAAACAATTGAGCTTGAATTACGATTTTGGATTATAAACAAGTAACTTACATAATTAGTGTATATCGGTGAGAAGAAGCTACAAATGAATTTGGTACCTTTTAGAATGGAGGAAGAAACTAGAACGAACTTAATAAGATCTGGCAAAAATTGCAACTTCATCGGCTGGGTTACCAGTCATGAAACATGTCTTCCGCCCCTGGGGCTGGTCGAACGGGAAGCAGCGTATTGTTGCGCCTGTCTCTTCTTTCACCTTCGACTCATCGGCATCACTGATAACCACCAAAACAAAATCTTTAGCACTCTAGGATAAACTTCTTTCTAATTCATTTCCCAGTAGGAAACAAAAGATTATGACGAGTTGCTGACCTAGCTGACCATGGACCTCTTGCCCATTTCCCCTGAGAAATAGCCACCTTCAGCTCCTCGTACGAGCTAACGTCCACAATGTTACTGCATAAGCATCCATTGAATTTTCAACCGCAAGAATACAGGAAAAAGAGGAAAAAGTACTAAAATTATGACACTTTCCATGCATGTTTTCCGTTGCTTATAGCGCAACTAGTGAAGGTTCAGGGAGTAAGTGAAAAAAAGGCTTAAATTTCACAAACTACCCTGAACTCTAAGGGGTTTTGCCCAAAACTAGTGTAAACTTTTTTTAATTATAGAAAATCACCATGAACTTTTAGACGTGCAGAAAAACATCATGAACTATTGGACACTGTTGCTAACGGCATCATCATCTTGGAAAAAGCTCTAAACTATTGTTATTGATATCTATCAAGTATCAACCTACAACGTTTATAAGGGAAATATAGAAGCAGATAAAGTACATGAAGGCAAAACTGTCCAAATCAAGTAACATGCAAAATACGTGACAACTTACAAACTGTGATCATGCATGGTTGTTTAGTAAAAAGAAATTCATGGTATGTTTCTCTGGTAAAAAAGAAATGTGGTGGTTTGTGCAAGATCAAAGTTCATGGTACTTTTGAAAATTTTATCCCAAAAAGTTGCTACTGTTCACTCATAATAAGCAAACTTACATCTTAGCATGCATATTCCAACAAATATAAGTCGAGGTCGACCTTGTCATCAAAAAAATACTTGAGGGCCTTAGGCTTACCTAGCATGTACCCAAAACAAATTTGAGGCTTACCTATCACGGAATAATGTAGCCCTCTGCAATAGCGATTCTTGGATGTCTTCCAACCTGCTCTTCACATGGTCTTCCAAAACTGAAGGGTCCATGGATACTCCAAACTCTTTTCCAGGCTTTCCAGGAATATCTCTTCTAGAAACAACTACACTCCCACTGGCAACATCACGAGGTCCAACTTCTATCCTTAAAGGAACACCCTGTAGAATCACAGAGATTGTCTGTAAGTCTTATTTTCATCAAGTCTTAGTCTTGGTCATTGTAAGTCTTAGTCAAGTAGAATATACATATAGCTTCCATATGGACAGTAAGTCTTCGTCGTGATTCAGTAGTCAAGTTGATAACCTTGACGTCTAGTTTCATCAAAAGAGGGCTCATCAAATAGATTTGAACAGCAAGGTGAAAAAAATAGTTTCTCATTTTGGTGGTTAATTTTCCATATAAAAACAGCAAGATGCAAATAAATAAAATTGTCTGGCACATTGCATTCATATTTACATTTTTTTTAATCATGAATCTCTTCTAAACCAAACAAGTAGAAAATGTCACTTTTCCTATTGCATATAACCAAACTGACCATAACGAGATATCTATTCAGACATAGAACGAGTGCAATGATGAGTGAAGATCCATATTCAGTTCTATTAACTGGCTCTAGTATTATATTTGTGAACATTTATATTTCAAACATGACGGCCTGTAACTTGCCTTCATCTCCCAGAAATTAAATTTCCATCCTGGAGTCCTCTGTTCTGAGTCATCAAGTTTGACTTTGATTCCAGCAGTTTTCAATAATTTCTCAACAGTAGTAGCAGCATTAATAACTCCCATTTTCTCATCAGCTTTCTTCCAAATGGGAACAATTACCACCTGAAAATATGTTATGAGCAAAACATTTAGTATCTTAGAACTGAATTACGTGCAGAAGGTAGCAAAATCAAAGTGATAAGCATTAGATTTTGGTTAATTTCCTTCAGCCCTGAATCTAGACTATTGACAGGACACACAGATTTATCATTACACTGGCTATTTTCAGACAGAGCCAACAGGAAGTAGGCATTTTTATAAAAGAGGCCGTAAAGTGGAACATATGCCAATCATACAGCTTGCTGCTTGCATACTAGTAGTTTTACAAACTTATTAGACAATAACAAAATATGTGAAATGGCAGAACAGAAGAACTAAGGACCAAAATAACAAGTTTCATCCTAGGAATGTGCGTCAGATTTTGAGTGCATGCTACAGTAGATTTAAAAGAGGCCATAAATTGACCGAGTTAAAATCATATACTCCCTTTAAAAGTATTGAGTTTGGAAAAAAAAAATTTATGGTCAATATTACCCTCAACCTTTTTTAATATTACATTATTATCCTGATCTATTCTAATTATCCTATCTTTTTTGAATTGGTAACTAAATGATTTATCCTATTCATAATGAGACTTAACGTGTTATTGAATAAAAGATATACGTTTTATATAATTCAAATCCTTTACTTATTTCAGTTCGTAGAGAAATCTAAAAAACATATGCTAGCCAGCACCTAAAAAATTTTAGGCTTTGTAAAAAATATTCTCTAAGTTTTTTAAATTGCAAAAACACTCCTACAAATTCAAATTTTTATTAAAGCATCTTGAAAATTACAAATTTTACTTATTTCAATTAAGAGAGAAATTTGAAAAACATATGCTAACTAGAAATTAAAAGTTTTTTGATTTTGGAGAAAATATCATTAAAGTTTTGAAAACTACAAAAACACTCCTAAAAATTCAAATTTATAAAAAACACCTTGAAAATTTCAAACCTATAAACACACTAAAAACCTACAAATAACACAAACAACCCCTAAAATTTTATGGAATTTGTAATAAACACTGAACTTTTTACAAATTGACAAATAAAACCTCAATTTTGTAAAATTTACAAATACCCTGATAATTTCCAACCTAACAGTATAATGAAAATATGAGAATTATAAACATCCCTTACATAATTTATAATTTATAGAAAACATCATTAAAGTTCCAAAAATTACAAACAAACCCTTAAAATTCAAAATTTTCAAAAAAAACATCCTGAGAATTTCAAATTCATTGGTAAATTGAAAGCATAGGAATTATAAGTAGTCTATAAATAATTTATACTCTGTAAAAAATACCTTATGCTTAAAAAATTACAAAAAGCCCCTAAAATTCATAATTTACAAAAAAAAACATCATGAGAATTTCTAACTTATAGAAACTAAAATGAATATGAAAAATTACTAACCCTTAGAAAATTAAAATTTTGCAAAGAATATCATACACTCTTTAAAAGAATTGGTTTAGGAAAAACTTTTCATGGTCAATATTATCCATAACTTTTTTGAAAAAAACATAACTAATTAAAAATCTATTAAATTTAAAATTTACAAAAAATACCCTTAAAATTTAATACATTGCAAATTAAACCTCCAAACTTTAAAAAATTTCAATGATTTTTTGTAATTCCTTGATGTCAATGTAATGTTTAATAGTTGTCTTTGTAAATTACAAAATTTTAGGGTGTTTTTTTATAATTTTTAAAATTTTTGGAGGTGTTTATTTTGTAGTTTTCTAATTTTTCAATGTGTTTCCGGTTTGATGCATAGATACGTCAATTAATGATGATATTGAAGAGTAAGGTGTTCTTAAGATTATTAGGGCATAGTTAAGTATGGACATTACTATTCGTAGGCAGTATAGTTTTGATACAGGAGATCAAGTAATTGGACAAGTAATTGGACGAGACGACATCTCAACTCGTCGAATATCCGACATCTCAACTCGTCGGACATCTCAACTCAATACAAACCAAGTCATCTCAGCGGACGAGATGACATCGAAGCAGATGAAACGACATTTTAGCGAACGAGATGAGATCTTAGCAGACGAGACGAGGCGAAGCAAGCTGAACGAGACGACACATGTCGGTCGACACGAAAGGCGGTACTAGTCGACACGTTTCGTGTCGACTGAAACAGAAGTTGGGAATACATGTCCAGTCGACACAAAACACAACTAGAACAGAAGTTGGGAATACATGTCCAGTCGACACGAAAGGCGATACTAGTCGACTCGCCTCGTGTCGACTCGGACATCAGATTAGGAAAGAATTCGTTTTGGTTATTTCCTTTTAGAAACAGAGCAAGGTTATCGATAGCGGATAGCGTCGCGTAGCGGTGAAACATCGCTAAGACTATTTCGGACTATTACGGTAAAATAGCGATAAAAAGCGCAAAGTCAAATAGCGGTCTAATTTAAATATGTATAAATACTAAAAAAAATTAAAGAAAAATCTAAGAAATCTAAAAGTACATATTGGATGATTTAAAGAGATCCTAAACATGAAATAGACATGTAACCATCACGTAATACTGAAGATGACTGGAGGAATCAAAAAGTCGTCTTCGAGAAGAAAAACTTAGCAGTGACAGGATTATCCTAAGAGGAGCTCACGGTGGAGGACGTGAGAGGAAGTATCAAGATAGGTGCCAGAAGCTATGAGAGATAGCGGGAGTATGCTGAAAATCACAGGAGACGGTGGAATGCAATGATCAAGGGTTGAGTTTAATTTAAAAAAATAAGCCTCAAACCGCTTTTAAATAGCAGTCAAAAAGCAAATTTCGAATACAATCACTCATTATTTACCCTTATGACACACTATTGACCGCTTTTGCAAACAGACATATTCCGTTATATGTCACCGCTATTGCGCGATAGCGTAGCGGGCGATAGCGTCGCGGGAAGAGACCGTTAACGCTATTAGCGTCGCTATTACGGGGCTATTTACCGCTATTTATAATAGTGAAACAGAGTTTCTTTTTTATTAGAATTAGGATAGGTTTAGTTAGCTATATATAATAGTTCCTTTTGTAAATCAATAATTAACTTTTCAATTATTCAATCAAGAGAATTTTTCTCCATTGTTTTCTTTCTCAAGTTTGAGAAACTTCTGGCTTGTGGATTCAAGCTTGTGAATTACCTGTTATTGTCAGGGCTCGTCGGCATCAGAACGATATCCGATTAGCCTCCCCGTTTCTACGTCTACGTCAAGTGGTATCAGAGCTTCGGCTTTAACATACTCGATAATGGCAGGTGACGACAATGAGCTTTCTCTACAGGATCTTTCTGTGAGGATGGATTTTATAGATGGAAGATTTGACACGTTGGTGGCGTCTCTTCAGAACCTTTAACAAGCCATTGAATGACTTACCCTTCACCTCAACAATGGGAATAACTTCGCCGACGGACTTCACCTAGGCGGACCCAGAGTTGGACAACCCCGACATCCACCCCCGTATAATCAACAACCCCTCCAGTTCATTCCCCTCCAAACCAATCACGTCCAAACCAACCCCCTTCATATCAACCCCCTCCGCATGAACCTCCTCAATATCAACCCCCTCCATTCCTTCGACGACTTCCCAATCAAACCCTTCCCTATGATGATTACAGTGATGACGGAGTGGACTATGGTCACCAATTTGAAGGGTCATGGTATGATAATGTTTTGAGTGAAGAGGAAGGAGATCGACCTTATGGTAGAGGTCGAGGTAGAGGTTACAACCCTCGTCATAACTATCACCGACAAGACCGATATCATCAAGACCACGACTATCGGATGAAGGTAGAGCTTCCTTCCTTCGGAGGAAATCTGAACATAGAGGCTTTCTTGGATTGACTCTACGAAATGGAGAAGTTCTTTGAGATGGCTAATGTGTCCAAAATAAACCAGGTGAAGTTTGTGGCATATCGTCTCAAAGGAGGAGCCGTGACATGGTGGGATCAAACTCAAAACACTAAGAGACGGCAAGGCAAGCAACCGGTGCGGGTTTGGCATCGCATGAAGCAGCTACTACGGGCAAGATTTCTACCACCCGACTATCAACAAATCCTCTACAACCAGTTCAAACAATATCGTCAAGGAGTCAGATCAGTAAGCGTCTATACCAAAGAGTTCTTCCGTCTTACTTCTCGTTGCGATTTGTCTATGAGCGAGGAACAACTCGCAGCCAAATATATTGGTGGTTTGAAGTATCGATTCAAAAGAATGTGGTCATCCACAATGTGTACTATGTGGACGAAACCCACAATATGGCTCTAAAGGCGAAAAGATAGGCATCCAAGACACCACCTTTTAGGCGAACCGATCAGGAAAGTTTGGCCGAGAAGGCAAGAGGTGAGTTGGCAGGGACAATGACGACTGATCGGTCTAATCCTCCACGATCAACCGAGCGGTCAACAAATCAACCACCACCCCAGACGACTCAATCAAATCAGTATGCCAAGCCGACCGTAGGAAAGTGTTTCTGATGTCTCCAACTAGGACATAAGTCCAACGAGTGCCCGCAGCGACGAAAAGTCAATCTTACGGATTATGAAAAAGCTGATGATGGGCACACAACATCTAAAGAAGAGTACGAGGAAGAGGCTGCCGAGGTTAAGGGCGACAATGTGTCATGTGTTGTTCAACGACTTTTGTGCGCTCAGAAGACACCAGACTTATCACAACAGCATCAAATTTTCTTTTCTATGTGTTTAGTCAACAACAAGGTGTGCACCCTTATCATTGACAATGAAAGCTGTGAGAATATTATGTCAAAGGCCTTGGTGGATCACTTGAAACTGCCGACAGAGACAAAGACTGTGCCTTATACCATAGGATGGATCAAGAAGGGCCCCTCCGTAAAGGTGACCGAGTTGTATCGCGTGCCATTATCACTGGAAAAGACTTATAATGACTATGTTACTTGTGATATTGTGGATATGGATGTGTGTCATGTCTTGTTAGGACGACCGTGACAGTATGATGTTGATGCTAAGCATAGCGACAAGAAGAACGAGTACTTTT